TCCCTGCTGTAGCTGGTGGAGCCCTGTCAAGGTGGCTCCAGTGTCCGTCGGACATGTCTCTGTCATTCTTTTATTAATTCCTCACTTCCAAGTTATAGGCTTTAACTGTTGTTTTCTTATCCCAACCCTGAAATCACCTATTTTGACACAGAGCTCTGATTTTTAAAAATTGAATAATATTTAAAATTCAAAACCTATATACTTCAGGGAACTCAACTGCTGCTATGGTATCATTATATCCAGGAAATTCCTATTGATTTAACTCAACCTGTGTGTATGTGTACGGAACTGTAAATTCATATAAATGAATATGATAAATACCATATATATATAAAGGATACTAGGATAATTCTTTTTGTTTTTATGTTTTTCAAGAAGAGAGAAAACTACATTTATTTGAGCTAGTTAAGATTGCAATCCTAGAAAACACAAATTCAGACAATCTTGAAAATGTTCTTTTTGTTTTTAAACAAGTTATTTAGTCAAATTACTGTGTTTAAAAGTTACTAGGACTAGGGCTGGGAAGGTGACTCAGTAGTAGAGCGCTTGCCTTGCATGCCTGAGGCCCTGGGTTCGATTCCTCAGCACCACATAAGCAAAAAGAAAAAAGCCGGAAGTGGCGCTGTGGTTCAAGTGGTAGAGCACTAGCCTTGAGCTGAAGAGCTGAGGGACAGTGCCCAGACCCAGAGTCCAGGACCCACAACCGGACCCCCCCCCCAAAAAAAAAAAGTTCCTAGGATTAGTTCTTTTTTCTCCTTTAGAACAGTTATATTTTTATTTGAAATAAGTTTGGCCTATTTTGAGTTTCATATAAATAGAGTCATACAGTAATGTCTGTGTCAGGCTTCTTTGGTTCAGTATTATTACCCCATTGCTGTTATTACCCATTGCTATAAAATGTTCTTTACTTTTTCTTTTTTGTGTGTGGCTAATACTTGTGCAGTTTGTGAATAGATACCATATGTGTGATAAAGGCCATAGTTGCACAGCTGTGGGAGAAGTAGGGTGGAGCAGCTGGCTGTGCCTGGATAAGTCAGAGAAGGCTTTACATGATTTACCTAGGAAGACAGTAGGATAGAATGCATGAATATGCATAATGTTAACAGAGAAAATATAATGTGGTGTGAATGGAACAAAGGAATACGTGATTTGGTAAACAGTATGACCAAAATACCTGAGAGAAACAACTTAAAAGGGAAATTGTTTATTTTGGTTCATGGTTTTGATGAATTTGGATCCATCATAGCAGGGAAGGCATGGTGGAGAAGAACAGGTCACATTATAGTAGCCAGGAAGGGACCAGAGACCAACACATACCCTCATGACCTACTACCCCCGACTAGGCACTACTTCCTCCTACTTTTTACTTCCTCCCAATAATAATGACCTCGTATTATGAATTTATCAAAAGATTAGTCCATTCATTAGGTCAGTACTGTAATGATCTCACTACCCTGGAAATGTCCTCACAAACATGGCATACCCAGAGGTGTGCTTCCCTAGTCACCTAGGCATTTCTTAAGTGAATCAAGTTGACAGTCAAGATTAACTACTAAATCTTACAAACCATGCTCTGTAGTTTAGTTGGATTGTCTCATGTGTCCTTTAGAAATTCAGAAAGGCAGTCAAGACTGACACTGTTACCTGCTTTTACTACCTGAAAACATTGAGGTCCTAGAGGTTAAAATGCCTTGCCAAAGGTATCAGAACCAGAAATTGGAGGACCTAGCATTTACCTGGCTTCCTGGCTTGGCATCTCTTTCTCTTGGGCATATTGACATTGTTAACAGAGTCTTCTTGAAAGTTGTCTGCAGCTAGGCAGTGAGTAGATGCTGTCAGGAGCAATTTGAAACAAATGGTCATTTACACAATCTTGTTGAAGGAGGATAGCACTGGGATTTTGTGGCCTGTGGCCTCCAGTTTTCTGACCTCTATGCCAGTTCACAGAGCAGGAAGCAGTGGGGAACTCCGAGTTTCAGGCTCTGCATTGGCTTGATAAAAATCCATTTATCACTATCTCACTCATTAATTCAGAGCAGCCTTTGCTGCTGCTCCTGGCCTTTGTCAGTGGCTTGTTTCTGAAGCCCTGTTCCTTGAGGCTGGTCAGCTCTGTAATCTCCAACCTCAGGGTGAATCCCAGCAGATCAAAGACAGGTCTTTTCTTACTCTGCGTCTTTTGAAAGGAAAGAACTAATTTTTAAAAAAGAAAGTTAACATGATGCAGCAGTAAAGAACATTAGCTTGGAGGTAAAGCCAGGTAACCTGGGCTTTACTTTTGCCACTGCCACCGTAACAAGCTGTGGCACATATTTAATATGTGTGAGGCTCAGTCTCCTTATATCTACAATGAACAAGGCCAAACCCACCTGAAGAAATCATTGAGATGATTAAAATGTGGTAACATGCCTTGGTATGACACCTGGTACACATGCGTCCTCCATAGATGAGATTTTAAATTCTTGCTCTTATTGTGGCTACCATCCCACTGCTGCTCCCACCACAGTTAAAGCATGTTTGGAAAATAGAGAACAAAAATATCTTATAATTCTACCACCATGATGCAGCTGATAATTTAGTTCTATTTCCTTAAATCTGCCCCCCACCTCTGCTTTTTCTAAATATATCAGATTTTATAACCAGGTGAGGGGTTTTTCTTTCTTTGTGGTGGGAATGGCATTGTTCTTATTTTAATAGATTTTCCCCCCTGATTTTAAGAACACTATGTAAAATTCGAGGAGTACAAAAAGAAAAAGGAAAAAAGCTATTTTCATAATGCCAATGTCATCCCTAGACCAGAAGCTGTCTGATAACATTTTGATGTATCTCATTCCAGTCATTTTTATTCATGTTTATTATAGAGTTGAGATAACATATGTATGATTTGTATGTGACTTTTCAGTCCAGGTAATATGAGTATTTTCCTACTATTCTAAGTATCATTTTCCAAGTCTGCTTTATAGTCCTTCAAATATCTCATACACAAATGTTTTCTTATTGGTACACATCTAAGTTTTTTAACATTCGTAACTGTAAGCTGCTTCCTATAAATGACCAAAGGAATCAGTCTGAGTCCACCCAGGAAGCTTACAAGGTACCTGTACTGTTTATATGGCTCTGCGTAAGTCATAGTAGGTGTACTCAGAGCCAGCCTTAAAGGTGTAAGGAATCCTTTGCCAGACACTGTCAGGAAGTTCACATAAAGATGCCTTTCCCTTTGGGATCTGGGATCTGTGCTCTGCACAGGAAGAAGCCCACAAAGCCTTGCTACTCTTTTTCATCTACCAGAATACAAAATGGCCTGCACTGCACAAAATGCCTTGTGAACCCGTTTCAAAACTGTCAGGGCCTCTAGTAAGAAATTTTGAATTACTTCTAAGTGGTTTTCACTAGGGAAGAGTGAGAAACATCAACAAAAGAACTCTTGAGAAAACCAGGAGAATCAGAATGGCTCTAGTTGTTATTGTTTATTTGTTTTCATTTTATTTTTAGAATTACTGGGTTTCATATACAACATGAAGCTTTGAAATACATGCACATTGTAGAATGGCTAAGTCACAATTAATATGCATTAATTCACATACTTGCATTTTGTGGTGAGAACTCTACTCTTAACATTCTCTAAGAATACAATATATTGTTATAAATGGACTCATTTGCAACACTATGGATGAACCAAAGAACATCATGTTAAGTGAAGCAAATCAGGAACAAAAAGACAACATATGACTTCACTTAGGTGGAACCTCTTGTGTGTATCAAAGAGTCGATCTAATAAATGAAGAGTATAGGATGGTGACTGTAATCATAGTTTTGCCATGCTGTGGAACATGAGACCTCTTCTTTGTCTTTTCCAAGCTTCCATTTACTTGTGGTAATATCCACGATCTCTAAGGGCTCTTCCCACATTAACATTTCAGAGTACCTACAAACTTCCTTGTGTGGGGAGCTAAAGTGAGTATCCTGGTAAAGATAATGGGATGCCTTCCCAGAGTCAATTCATACCTAAGGATCCACGTATGCCTTTATATCCCCAGTCACTTTCTCCTTATAGTAATTGGAGCCTGCAGAGACTAAATGACACAGAGTGCCTATCAGTGGTTAGACCCACTCGGCTCAGAACCCTAAATGACTCTCTTTTATGTATTAGGTATTCATTCTTTAATGTACTTAGTATTTGAGTCATTGTTTAATTTAACAGATACTGAGTCCTAGGCTTTGTACATCCCATCTGTGCAGCACAGAGGCTAATAAAACAGTTCTGTCCTCAGGTGCATGCTGTCTTAAGGAAGAGGCAGGAAGAAATATTCTACAATATTATTCAAAAGGTATTGAGCAAAATGTCAGAAGTACCCTGGGTTTTTCCTGGGGGTTTCAGTCAATGCCTGAACCTCTTAAATAATGAGTAGAGATTTTCTAGATAGGCAGTAGAGGAAAGGGTATTCTGGGTAGAGGAACAAGTACATGCAAAGATGGAAGAGAGGATGACGTGTTCCCAGATCTGCAGAGTTTGTGCTGCTTGGAAGGGGTGAAAGGGAGAGGGAGCCAATGAGGAAAAGCATTTGTCTGCAGGCCAGTGTGTTTCTACTGAATTCTGTGCTCATTTTATCAGTCCAGATGAAAGTGATAGTCTTTTTAGTTCAGTTTTCAAAAACTGTTTCCTTATTGCCTTATCTTTCCATTTTTAAAGTAACATATGCTCATTATAGAAAGTTTGAAAAATACAAAAAAGTAGAAAGAAAAAAATCACTGGTAGTCTAACTGGCTAAAGACAACTTCTTTAACATCTTGGGGCACTTCCATTCAATGTTTTTTCACACTCTTTTTTTATGTAGCAGTCAAGATGGTGTAAGTATAGTTTTAACCTTTGTACATAGTACTCCTAAAACTTTCCAAAAATGGGTGCTAAATGTCATTAGAAAATAACTGTGATCATAAAACATGCTGGCTGTAATATCTATACAGTTTTTCTTTAACATAATATTTTTTATTTCTTTTTACAGATCTCTTGTGGCTCAGAACATAATTTGGCAGTAATTGGTAAGTAAATTTTTTCCTCACGCTTATTCTGAAACTCATATAACAGAATTGGAGGAAGACCTTTGGTTAACCAAAAGTATTTATGTGTGACTGTGTTGAGGAAGATTTGGGGAAGTAGAGAGACCTTTGTTACACCAAGTTTATTAGAAAGTCCCTTTTCTGAAATTTCCACCCATACCATTGAGCATCTTTTAAAGTGGCCTTTACGCACTGGGGAGTGGCATTTGAGGATCTTAAAGAATTCACAGGGCTACCTAGTAAGACCCTGTCTGAAAAGCAAGCAGACAAACAGAAAGAACTCACAGGCTTGGGGAGGCCATATACAGTTAGACATGAAGATGGGTATTAGATTGGGCTGCTTTTGATTCTTTAAATAAGTTCTTTTCTTCTAAGTTCTCTCTTCCTAGTTTGGCTCTTTGGAATATGGGGCCCAATTCATTGTACTTATTACCTTGTATTTAGGTCAGACCTCTGGCTTATTGAGACTTCCTTTTAGTTTCTGTGTTTTTATGTTTTTATGATTGGATCTGTTTATTCAGAAAGCCCTTTATATTACTGACAGGTACATTCAATCTCTACCTCCTCTAGTACATTGGAGAGACTACGATCTGATTAGCACCAGAGTGCCTCAGATTAGTGTAGGCTTCCAGATACTCCACTGTGAATTTGGGCAAGGAATTTAATCTCTCTATGCCTCATTTCTTCATCTTTAAAAGAGAAGTGGGTGTAGTTTTTTTTTTTTTTTTCTGTTGGTTGTGGGGCCTGAACTCTGGGCCTAGGTGCTGTCCTTCAGCTCTTCAGCTCAAGGCTAACACTTTACCACTTGAGCCACAGTGCCACTCTGGCTTTTTTTCTGCTTATGTGGTGCTGAGGAATTGAACCCAGGGCCTCATGCATGCAAGGTAAGCACTCTACCGCTGAGCTACCTTACCAACCCCTGGGTATAGTTTTGCATGTCTATAATCCCAGCACTCAGGAGACAGAGGAGATTGTGAATTTAAGGTAAGCCTGGGCTATATAGTAAGACCCTGTTTCAAGTCAAACAGACATATAGACAAACAGACAGACATAGGGATGGCAACATGCCTATCTCATAGTATTGTTGTGAGGGCTAAGTGAATTAATATATGTAAAGTGGATAGAATGATATTAATGTTCTAGTAAGGGCTTTAGAAATGTTAGTAGTTATTACTTAATGTTATGATTTCAACGAATTGCCTTTTCTTAGCATTAATTCTTCCCTCTGTTAAATACAGAAGCTAGATTTCCCTTCAGTTCTGGGATTTTAGGACTCATTACATCCTTACTACTGCTTGCCTAGTGACAGTGCTTTCTTTTCTGGTCTGTTTCTCTCTCCTACCCTTTGACTAGAAATTTCTGGAAGGCAAGGCCCCTGTCTGTTTTCTTCTCTGTTCACTGCCCCCAGGATTGTGCCTGACTCTCAGCATAGCCTCACACACTCTTCACTTGAGCTAGACTGGCTTAGCTACAGAGAATGGGAGTGGTTTGTAGCACTATTCGTAGGCCCAAATGTGATGTGCAAAGAGGCAGAACCATGGACAGCAGAGGAGCAAGGCTGCGAGAGGCTGCCCAAGTGTCAAAGGGGTCAAAGGGGCTGGAGACAAAGAAACAGAAAGTGTAGCAACAAACCTGACTACTTGGTAGCAGAGCCAAATACTTTATATAGGCCCCTGTGTAATTAAGACAAGCTAATCAGAAAACCCAAGCCCATTATCTAGGATGTTCCTGTTCTGCTCTGCTGCTGCTCCTGGCACTGGACTAGGAGAGGTAGCTTCCTCTGAGAGTAGCACAAACATACAAATGGAAGGAATCTCAGTATGTGAAAACACACACAACAGCAGAGAGAGGCCCGAGCTGAGCTGATACAGGCACCAGAGGGCTGTGGAAAGCAACTACAGTAGACATACAGCCTTGGTTCAAACTGGGTCAGCTCTGTGTGAGTTCCCGTTTCCCCCTTCATCTATGTAATGGGGATAATAATTCCTCCTTGCAGGACTGTGTGACAATCAAGTATAATAAAGCATATGAAAAGCCTGGCATCCCTTTGTTTCTCATTTCTCTTGGTGTGAGAGGGAAGAAAAGGGAATTGTTCTTATGAAATACTTCTTTGAAGGGAAAGGAAAATGATGACATTCTGTGAAAGGTGTATGGAGACTTATCCAAGTGAGTAGAGGCAATGGAAGAAAGAACAGAGGGCTGGGATGCAGTTCCATGCTAGAGTGCTTTCCTAGCATTTATGAGGCCCCCGGTTCAATGCTCAGCATCACCAAATAAAAAGAAAGTACACATATTCTTGATTTGGTTCTCAGTGCTCAGAGTCTGGTTCACAGAGTACTGTATGAATGATTCTCAAGTCATGACAAGATTCTCAACTTGTTTACCTGCCTGCAAGCAGGGAACAAGGAACTCTTCCACTGGAGGATTGTGGCCTCCTGAGTGGACTGCAGGATCCAGGCTTTGCAAGTACACTTGCCCAGAAGCTGTTGGCCCTCGTAGGATCCTAGCAAGAGGGAGACAAGCTGGAGGAAGAGGAGCTTGATTAGCTGTAGGATGAGCAGTTTGCCCCAAAGGTTATATAGGTAAGAAGAAACTGTGTCAGATCTTTACCCCTATTCTCTAACATCTGAGCCCCATATTACTAACATGACCTTCTTGCAGATTGGAGACAGTCTAGTCTGTTCTTAAAGCCACCAGATAAGAGGGCTTCATCTCTCCACTTCAGTATTTAGTTTGGGTTCATACTGGCAGGTTCCTCTGTTTAACCAGCCTAAATCTCCTCTGGTTTAATTTAAAAAGTTCACAACATAATATAACCAGATAAAATTGTGATATTTGTTTTTTTTTGGGGGGGGGTGGTCCGGTCATGGGGCCTGAACTCTGGGCCTAGGCTCTGTCCCTCAGCTCTTCAGCTCAAGGCTAGCGCTCTACCACTTGAGCCACAGCGCCACTTCTGGCTTTTCTCTTTTTGCTTATGTGGTGCTGAGGAATTGAACCCAGGGCCTCAGGCATGCAAAGCAAGCACTCTACCACTGAGCCATCTTCCCAGACCAAAACTGTGATATTGTTAACTGTTTGAAAAGCCACTCTTTTTAGAATACTTCTCCCTCCCATTGTCTCTTTCCACTTAAAAATTAATGTCTATATTTAATTTTTTTGGTCGGTTGTGGGGCTTGAGCTTTGGGTTTGGGCACTGTCCCTCAGCTCCTCAGCTCAGGGCGAGCACTCTACCACTTGAGCCATAGCACTACTTCTGGTTTTCTGAGTGGTTTATTAAAGATATGAATCTCACAGACTTTCCTGCCCAGGCTGGCTTTGAACCATGAACCTCAGATCTCAGCCTCCTGAGTAGCTAGGATTATAGGCATGAGCTACCTGTACCTGGCTTATATTTAATTTTGAATGATTAATATATGTGTATAGGTCAAAACTTACAGAATTTTAAAATGAAAAAAAATTAAATTTTAAATGAAAAACCTCTCTTATGCTGTCTTTCCTCTATAACCCTATACCACATGTGCATGAATTATTAATTTCTTCTATGTCCTTTTAGTCTTTTGTATATATAAATAGACACAAAAATCTGTTTTATTTTATTTTATTATAAATATGCTGTATAGAAGGGTTACAGGTATACGAGTAAGGTAATGGGTACATTTCTTATGATCATTGTTACCCCTTCCCTTCCTCACCTCCCACATTCCTCCCTACCCCCTACCCCCCCAACCAAAGTTTTAAAGTAGGTTTCCAATATACTGTCCTGTGGGTATCATTGTTGCAGTAGGTTTTCCTGTGTCCTTGTTTCACCATGTTTCCCCTCCCCAGATTAGACAAATATATATATATACAAGATGCAGGGTACCAAAATCAAGTCCAGTGACAACAGGGGATATACCATATGGTGAAGAACTTACAAAGGAAATGAAAAAAATCACAACAACAACAAAGACAGACCGTGGATCAAGAAAATGTGGTATATAGGAGCTGGGAATGTGGCTTTAGTGGTAGATTGCTTGCCAAGCATGCGTGAGGTCCTGGGTTCAATTCCTCAGTATCACGTACACAGAAAAAAGCCAGCAGAAAAAAGCCAGAAGTGGTGCTGTGGCTCAAGTGGTAAAAAAATATGGCATATATATATATATATATATATATATATATATATATATATGTATGAATTCTGAGCTTCTATCAGAAAGAACAATACCACCCCATCTGTTAGGAAATGGAAAGACTTGGAAAAAAATCATATTAGGTGAAGTAAGCCAATCCCAAAGAAATTTAGGTCCCATGGTTTCCCTTATTTGCAATAATTAGTATACTATAGGATAATCTTATCAGAAGAGCTGAAAAGCTCAAAAGCTATGTACCTATGACCATATAAGATGATGCTAATTGAAAATCTATTTTTTAAAATTTCCTCTTACTAAGAAGTAACATCCTGGGATGGGAAGATGGCTCGGTGGTAGAATGCTTACTTGCATACATCAGGCCCTGGGTTCGATTCCTCAGAACCACATAAGCAGGAAAAAAAAGCCGGAAGTGGTGCTGTTGCTCAAGTGGTAGAGTACTAGCCTCGAGCTGAAGAGCTGAGGGACAGCACCCAGGCCCAGACTTCAGGCCCCACGACCAGACCAAAAAAAAAAAAAATTAAAAAATTTAAAAAAAAATTTAAAAAGAAGTAACATCCTATGTAGTTTTTTTCAATGTTTTATGCACCCATTTTCATCTTTTAAATCTTTCCATATCTTATAAAAGCCTTCTAAGTCACTTTCACAGCTACAAATATTCTAGTATTTCTTTATAGTATGATTTATTTAAATAGTGCTTCCATAAGGGTTATATAGTTTTTCACTAGTACCAGCAATGTCTAATAGTGCCTTTTTTTTGTTTGTTTGTTGATAGAGTGTCCTTAGTAGAATATGTTAAGATTTGGATTTTTGCTGATCAGCTAGGTATACAACTACTCAAGTTGGTTTTAAAAT